AAAGGAAGGAAATGTGAGCAAGTGTAAGAACTCAGCTATGGAAGCATCACAAATCTATCAGTACCAGGAAAAGTTTCTAACAGAGTGTTGATGAATCAGATGAAAGATTCAGTGGACGCTCAACTTCGAGATCAACAAGCCGGATTCTGTAAGGATCGCTCGTGCACAGACCGAATCGCGACACTAAAGATCATCGTTCAATAATCAGTTGAATGGGACTGGTTACCATAGATCAAATTCTTTGACTATGAAAAGACATTTGACAGTGTGAATAGGAGGATCCTATGAAAAATTCTTCGGCACTATGGAGTAGCTCAAAAGACCTCCACATCTGCGATTCATATGACGGACTACACTGCAAAGTGGTGCACGGAGCTCAGCTGACAAATGCGTTTCAAGTGAGGACCGGAGGCAGATAAGGAAGCTTACTCTCCCCGTTCCTCTTTTTTCTGGTGGTCTACTGGATAACAAAGACGTCGATATCTGAAGAGAAGTACGGAATAAAATGGACAACAACAGCCTACTGTAGGAGAGAATAATCCAGCTTCGAGCTGAATAGGAAATTAGGAAAAGACGTTAAAAGTGAGCAGGCCATACATTTCAAATATCACCACACTGCATCAAAAGACAAGCAATAATTTCGAACCTTGAAGGGAAGCGAAAACGAGGAAGATCAAAGAACACATTGCGTTGGGGACTGGTATTAGACATGAAAGGAATAAATAACAACTAGAAAGAACTGGAAAGGATTGTCCAGGACGAGGTTGGTGAAGGATGGTAGGTGGTCTCTAATCCTCAATGAGGGGTGATAGGCTCAAGTGAGTAAGTTGGCTAGTCAACAATACTTTCGAATCAATGCAGAGGTTCTGCGAAAATACAAACATATCAAGTACGATGAGATACATAACATATGTTGATCGCGGCTACAATTAAACGCAACTCAATTTCGTAAATGTACCTTTCAGCTTAGCAACCAATCATAGTGGGGCGGGAATTATTATATCCGCCATCTTTGTAAGCAATGGCGGTCGGCTTTCTTCGTTCTGTGCTTTTTTCAGCTATTCCTTTTGTGTAGCTATGTAACATAATGTTTTAGTGTGCTAAAATGCCGCAGTTAGTGTAATGTTCTATACGTTAGTGTGAAATTTACCTCGAATCGGCCTTGTTTTTGGGTTTTTGCTGCTTCTACTCAAGTCAATGTATTTCTTCAGCCAACCTGGCTAGTCTTATGTTTTAAAAGCCGAAGTCCGTTTTTTTTAGCTAGAATAATTGTTGTTGCTGCCTGTGACTCTAACTGTTCGCATATTCGTTCCTAACCGTCTTTTATGATGTTATCGGCAAAATGAAAAGAAACAATCTCCGGTTTGTAATTTTCTTCAGTATTCTGGTCAACGCTATCCGGTCAACGAGTCAAACTAGTACTTATTGCCCAGCAGTAGTTCATGTCAGTCTTGTTTTCAAAAACACCCAGACTTCCGACAACCATAGACGAAGTCACAGATACTACCAATCTATTGAAGAGGGTTTGTTATTAAAAATATGTCATACAGCAGTAATAGAGGGGTTGTACCCGTTACGTAATGCGTTAAAGCAAGCCTAACATTGAAAAGCCGGAAATCAGCTATCAGTGTGTAGTGTATGTTTGCTGTTTCGGCCATAAAAGGAAGCCGAAGGGTCATGATCAGGGAGTAAAAAGGTATTTAACTGTTATTAAGCTCACTTTTTTATAGATCATACTTCACCACTCGCAAATCTGTGTTTTTTTACTGTATGACATCAACCGGTACCTGATATTTTCACCCTTACGATGAAAAATACCTGCTAATTTTCACCTTCATATTCGAATTATTTTTGGACAACTGTCTTCCAGTTTGAGTGCTTCGTACGCCCTGGGAGACTAGATTACTACATTGTTCATAGTTCCAGTATAACTTTCTCACGCAGTAAGTTCAAAGTAAACACTAGTCTTTCTAAATAAGCCTGTTAAGCTAATATCCGTATTTTCTATTTCAGTTAATCGATGAAGAGATGTACCACGTGCATCTGCTGTATATTGCCATTTCACTCCAATTCTAACTGTTATATCTTACTTTTAAAAAATAAAATTGCTATATGCAGCAAATACAGACTTATTTGTTTTGATGGAGATAGGGGGGTTCATGGGATTTTTAGCAGGACTGTAGTAATATTCTCACTAAAGAGCTGAACGAGTGCGTAGACCAATGTAAGGTACCACACGGGGTGCCTTTGAGTTACTCGTGTTCCATTAGTGTGGGTAGAGGCATTACTTGCTTACCATATGACATTTGAATAAGAAGCTATGAGATTAGACACGGGGACGGTTAGGATGTGTAACGCGTGTCCATCCATCAGCTGCCGTGGCAACTCACGGTGGCTAGAATAAGTTGTGAAAGGACCCGAGTCTGTAGGTTTCTAAAGAAAATGACGAAGATATGCACCAAATCACTATGAAGAGCGCCTCCAATCACTTAACCTTTACCCATCAGAGTATAAACGTCTTAGAGGTGACCTTCTAATGGCTTACAGTATCCTTAACACTTCTGGACATCCTCTTAAACTTAGTTCCAACACTAACCTAAGGGGTAACACCCAGAAACTGGAGACACAACATAGCAGAACGGACTGTAGACACAACCTCCACTCCTTAGGAGTTGTCAAGTGCTGGAATTCGCTGCTGAGCGGGATAGACCAAGCGACTTCTCAGGAGTCCTTTAATAGGCAACTGGATATATTCTTAAGGATTAGGGATAGTATCATACCATGACTTACCAATTTCTTATCCCTCTTTTATTGTTAATATACCTAGGTTCCTGCCTGGAGCATTTGGTAATTGCCTGCTACTAGACACGGAAGCCTGTTGAACGAAAGCATCTACTCAGTCCACAACCATTTGAACACATGAACTAGGTGCTGAGAGGCTCGCTTATCACAAGTTTCTTGCAACGATTAAATAGATAAAACAAAGTAGCATTATATTCGAAAATTTATTCAAGAACTTTTATTAAGAATCGAATATCAAACGAAGGTTTAAACCAAGTTTCCATTTAAAAGTTGTGTTGGTAATGTTGAGCTGCAATTCTTGTTGTTTTTTTCCAAACGAAAGAGTAAAAGAAGTCAAAAAAATACTGGAAGTAGTTGTGAGACTAAAATGGACGTCCAGCATCCTTTTTATAATCTGCTGTTAGTTAGGTCTCCCGTAAACAGTTCCATAGGGCCATAGTTCTATGGGCGAAACAGTTCTTAGGATCTGTGAAGGCTCATTCCTGCTGCATTCTAAATGAAAAAATAGTGATGAATTTAGTCAGAAATGTGGAATAGATAAATAAACAAATTACGTGTTTTTCAGCAAAGAATTTATGCAGTTGCGATTTACCTAGAGTTCATGAATATTAGATAAGATCAGCTACTACTACTTATGCAAAGCATAACATGGGCTTAGTACCGTATCGCATTACTTTTATTATTTTGCTTCCATTTAAGTATTCCCATGCATCTGCGTCTAGTTTAACAGGAAGACATACAAGCAGAGTTAGTGTCTGATAAACTAAAAGTCCCAGTTGTCTAAAAGATTCTTAACATCTGTTCACAGACAGCTGCGTTTAACTGAGACACAGAACACTCATCTTCCAAGACTGTATACTGCTCTTATGCAGGCAAATGAAAGCTCACACACTTAGCTGTCCTGATACCGATGTTATTGCTGGGGAAATCGTTTAATGACAGTGGTCTTGAAACATGAACAGTGTTAGACGTACTGTCTACAAATAAACACCAAACGTACTTAAAGCTATCTTATAATGTATGACAGCAACAGCATCAAAGGCACGTTTTTTTCTATTTTTAATCAGACTGATTTGAATCAGTATACTCATCAGAAGTAGGCAACTCTACTTACTAAACTGATCTGTTTCGTTACAGGCATCAAGCACTTTACTTAAGAATACCATAATCCTTTCAACCAAACTGAACTATGTGACAACCGAGAATACTAAACTAAGCAAGTGTCATAATTATTGTTCCATTTGCACAGACATGTTTCTTAAAGTAGTTAAATGGACATAATTAAGACGATAAAACCAAAACACGAAATATAGGCCAGTTGAACTTACCTAACAAAAGACAAAGGATATATATATTGCTTTCCGACTGAAGACAACAGTCAGTTGTTCATAGAAACATAGTTTACAGTACAACAAACCTTTCTTCAGTAAAATCATGCACTGACAGTCTATCTGGAAACAATCAAATATGTGAATAAACTCAATATGGCTTGAGATATCATCCCAGCGTGCAATGGAGGTACAGTGTAACGCAGTCGGACGTGGCGAATAAAAATTAAAAACAGAGCAAAATTAACTACATAATCTAGTTATTTAATTAAAAATACATTGTGAAATGACAAAATCTAAGGTTACTTGAACGCACAGATGACCCTGCGCGATACATAAAGTTTACATGGTTGCGTTGCGGATAAATTCACCCGTTGATCGCAAACTTAGTTAGTTCTTTCAGTACTTGTACTCAATTTGAGGAACGACTTCCTACAATCTCGAAACGATATTTTTCTCTCCGATGGAGATAACGGTATCCTAATGATTCTGACAGCAGTTCGATTACTTCTACGTCCCTACATTGCGCAAGTACCTCACTCCCTCAAAACGGAATTTACTAGCTAGACCACCATTGAAAACAAGCCAGCACCGAATGATTGTTTCTTTCATGCGAAGGAATACTCAGAATGATGTACCCACGATCCTATCGAACATCGAACCGAAAAATTTCGAGCTGATCTGAAAAATTCCAACTTCCAGACCAGTGTTTCATTCAAAAATTGTGTATGGTTCACAATCAGCTTTTCATTAAAGTCACTATTAAGATTATAGCAACGGCTCTTTTGCGACTACAAAAAACGTAAGAAATTACCCGTCGAGAGTTGTTTTATCTTACAGTATTGGATATTGTAATGTTTGCAAGGTCATGTTAGTTTGGCCGCTGCTCTCAAGGTTTGTTTTCATTATTCTTAAAACATTTTCCGTAATCAGTGCATTTATTCAAGTTTGTTTGGCATATCATTCTCCCAATCAACCACATTTATAATTTTTCGTACCAGTGCCCCGTAGGCATGCGTATTCGGAGTTAGCTAACGCCAGTGGGACAAATATACTTTAACGTACGAATCTCATATGTAATCCGGACCTTTAGAGACGAGGACTTTTTGAAACTTGCAATCGTAGTGCATCAAACTATATGCTTCTTCTTCCGATTCGAAGGATGTCATAATCCGAGACTTGTATCATTTCTAATTTTCGTTTATTTGTTTCCTCAATAAAATCAAGTGCATCGTATACGCTTACTAGGTTGTTCACTTATTTTCTAGTGCTCCTCATTTGCTCAATCTTCTTCACCCAAGCTACTCCACATGTTCCTATAGTACACGAATTACCTTATGTTTATTCACGGACGATCATAGGTGGCGCATTTGTCATAGTGCAATAAGCCATTGTCAGTTGAAGTTGAAGTAGTGGAATTCAGTGACACGTAGCTGGCTGTATGGCAGTTACCCATGATCATTAATTTTTCGCTACACTACAGCATAATAAGCGTGTATGGTATGATGAAGTTGTTGACATGATGTTCATGGTAAGTTTCACACTGGCTTCTTTAGCGATCATGAGTGTTCTGAGGTTGGCTATGGGCTATGATATTTTCTGGTAATACATCTTTTCCGATCAAGAAAGTAATATTTTGATTTAAGAGGCAAAATTTAATTTTACAATCACTACAGTTTCTGTTTTGTCATGCCAAAGTATGTCCTTGATATCTGGAAGAACAGATGGATCACGGATCACAGATACTAACTTAACAATTCCATTTCTTCAAAACATTTAGGATATATTAAGTTTAACATCATTTGGAAATTTGCAACAACATCTGTTGGTTTTATCTTTGTCATTTCAAATTCTCATCATTAAGACAGTACATAGGCGCTGAGCAATATCCCAGTCTACGATAGTTAAAAGTTGATAGCTAGAACTTATAGATAGTGATTTTTCATCACAGTTTGTTTGAAACTAAATTTCGTCTGATGCTTAGTTATGCATCCACATTTCAGCGGTGCAAATTATACGAGATTTTTCCCAGTACAGAAAAATACATTTGTGGTAATAAGTTTTGGTTTCTAAATATTTAACTAATGGACATGGTGGATCTCGATAGTTTTTTATATAAATTTGTTATAATGATTGCCAAGTTTTATATTACGTACTAATTTTGAAAAAAAGCTAATTTTTATACGATAATGATAATACTTGTAAACTGTATGATGCTGTTTGGACGTCTTAAAAACCCAATGATCAACTGAAATGAACCTTAAAAAATTGAAACTTGACTGTATTCTTGGTGACTGCTCAAACAAGTACAAAAATGACCAAGTTGATGAGTACTGTTTGTTTTAGAAGTTTTTGTACATTAAATTAACTGTTAACATCTCATTTAATTGATCAACCTTAATTGTTGATATTGTATATATTTTTATGAGTGTTAAGAAGTTCACTGAAAAAGTGATCTAGTGACTAAATCACTCAAATTTTATCCAGTATTTCGAATCTTGAAAACTTCTGTCTATACTGACGGATAAAATTATTACTGAGCTTTACACGCAAATAGTATGTTTCAAACCATGTACTTATTAAATGACATATTATTATTGTTATTCAAGTGAGTTGTCAATTCTCACTGTTGTTTTCGTTGTGTTCCTTCCAGGGTTTTGTTTGCTTGATTATCTAATTGATTGCAACGTTAACTCATCGTTTTTTGTTCGTACGCAATAAACAAAAACGGATTACAATGATTACATTCTTTTCTAATATCCCAATATTTAAAGATGAAAAAAATCTTGATATACAAACATTTCTACAATTATCCAAAATGATTTGTGATTTTTTCGGTAAGTACTCATGTTATACTTTGTGTTGTTGATTGTAAATCAATATTTTTGTCGATCAGGTTTATGGGATTCAAAATTTTCATTATTACGAAATGATGTGGAAGGGAATATTAAAGTAAGTTTCGAAAAATCATTAATTTCAATGCATACATTGTTTTTATTTCATGATAGATTAAACTTTTTATTCATACGAAGCAACATTTCATATTGCTGTTGTGCCTGTAACATGGTTAACTGATGTTTGTTTGGTACTAATGACTCCAAATCTGAAGACGCGTAGTTAACTTACAAAGAATACTGATATGGATTTATTTGGCCGGAAAACAAGTCCAAATGATGCATTAGTATATGACCTTTTATTTGATTTACTTACACCCAGATCAGTAGTCAAATTTTATTAGTTTGAACTGAGTAACATTTAACATCAATTATTTGATAATTAACTATGTAAACACATAGTTACTATATCGTACAACTAAGCATCTATAATTAACTGACTAAGTTATACAGTTACCTCTTCTCACGATGTAACTATATGCCAAAGACGGTTGGAAAAAATCAATTTCTTATATCGTTTGCACTCAAAACGATTTAAGTAACTACTCGGTGTCTCACTTTACTCTCTTAACAATAGTCCCAACTTCTGGAACTCAACTGATAGCGTTGAGTGGATGCACAGCACTTAATACTACAGAGATCTATAGTTAGATTATTTATTTTTATTCCATTCAATAAATAAACTTATTTAAGTTAAAACTGTATATCAGTCATTTCAACATTAACAAATATATATTGTTTTACAAGCAGCCTTAAATTTACATTATTTATCTGCCTTGAACTTGGCTATTCTTTTGGATTATTGATTTATATATATAACTGTATAGCCTGATTAAGAACTACTGAAAAAAATATTCTTCATTCATGTATCTATGACTATACAACCTTATGAAAATTAATATCAACCACAAATTGAGACAATCAATTCATTCCATTTTATGGGTTGAAAAATACTACTGCTAATGTAGTAACACACAGAGTCATTTTGAAAATAAGTTGCATTAGTTGCTAGAAATATCGCATTGGACAAAGTAGGCACTTCTTTTACATTCACATTCAATAGCAGTGTGACAATATAATATGATATCACTCTTATTAATGCATATAAATATGATTTTGATTGGAAAAACGTTGAAATTTTGGATTAAGATGATTATGTAAATACCAAGGGGATGTTTGAAGCATGACATTCAGATCAATTAGCATTCAGTAAAAAGCAATCGAAATAGATTCAATCAATCTGCTAGCACAGAATAATTCAGTCAATCATGTGATCAAAGGTCAGGTAAACTAAACAGTCAACATTAATCCAAGGACAAATGAAAAAAGCAACCAGTCAATAATGCGGCCACCGGAATGAATTAACTTGGTCCATATAGAATAGTTAAAGAGCTCACTTCTACATAAATGAATGTTAATGATGATTATAGCCGTAACAACAATGAAAGCTTCTCAAATGAACTATGCAATTCTGAGCAAACAATATCATTAAAAGCACAAAGGTATCTAATACTCATCGTGATAATTGAAGTTTATGGGCTGGATCCCCTGTATTATTACAAGGAAGAGGAGCTGCGGAAGAGATATAAATTAGAATACAAAATCTGTCCAATACTTTCTTGTTTGTGAAGAAAATACAGTGTCTCGTGTTAAAAATTGATAAGTCTTACTACCGATACGCCTAAATGGTTTTCCTAGCTGATTACAGCCTTAACTCTGACACGGCAACTCGAACACAAGAGGAACAGTACAAAATGCATAACCAAAATACTGGTGACAAGGATTTACTTGACTTTCGAAATAAATCAAAAGAATTTATGGATAAAACAGCATTTATCTGAGTATTCCACAGTTATATTAACAGTCAGATTTGTCTGAATTGAACCGAGTCGCGTTTAACAATAAAGATTCTAAAACATGCTGTGTGAGCACACATTACCATATTATACAGTTATACATCTATAATCCTCAAAATGTAAACACATGTTGTAAACGATTCACACTCCAACTGATCAAGCTATCACTTGCCCTAGCAAAACGAAACAGTAGAAAAAGGCTTCAAGTAATTTTTAAATTCATATATCAGAGCGAAATATATGAATGTGTAGATTATAACTTACGAATACTTTTTGTAAGAATTCTTATTCTAATAATACTTATTATGTTGCATATTGTTGGAATTCATCATATGTTGTCTGTTGAATACATAGGAAAACTTAGGTCAGCAATATTTTATTCTACAAATTTAGAGTATGTAAGTTTTGTTTCTTGTCAAAGTACTCCCTAAATGGAACAATACATTTGTCTCGTTTCTATTTACAATATCTAAAATGTTTCTGGATGTGTCTCCAGCTATCTTGTCATTTCACCACTTAGTACAAAAGCAAAAATAAATCGCTAGAGGTTTGTTAATATTATTATTGGTAGGGAGACTGAGATAGCTTGATCATGAATTTACAAGCTGGAAACTTGCAAAACGTTACAGCTGAATACGCAGAAATATGGCCGCTTGTTTGTTTAATAGGTCATGCAACTATGAACAAATTACAAATCCTACTAATTAATAGCTTATTAAAGGTAGGTTATGAAAGTTAGATTGACTCAAGATGGTTAGCGTTTGAGTAAATACAATTGGTTACTTATTTATTTATGTTCGTAGTTAACAATCTTGGTAGCTCGGTTCTTATTTGTATTGGGTAGATTATGTGAAATAATCTTTGGGTTAAACATGCTTTTAGAAATGTTATGTAATTTTTATAGATTAAATCACTGACTGATCTCAGTTACACTACTGAAACTTTGGAGTTAATAAAGGATCGTTTCATCCTAGAATGTGACTCCGAGAAAGTGCGCATCCAGGGACTCAAATCCGGCAGTCAAACACAACACCTTCAGTTCAGTGTGTAAATCCTTAAACTTTAAATCACTAGCAGATACCCAAAGGCTTTAATGTCCAGTTTCAATAAATTCAAAACATGTAATTGTCACCCTTCAGTATTATAAACAAATCTAATGTAATAGAGTTTAAGCGTTCGCGCGCGATATCGACTTGCCCTGGGTTCCAGTCTCACGAGGCAGACCGGTGAGGAGTTCCATACTAGGACGAAACGGCCGTCCAGTACCTCCAGGTTTTCCATGGTGATCTAGCTTCAGTTGATTCATGAATTCAACTATTAAATCTAATATTATTTACAGTATCAAATACGAATATAATAGATCTTTTGTTATCCACGTGTCACAGTTAGATACAAGTTGATAGGTTTATTTAACTTAGAATATTCAAAATCTTGACAAACTTAGTAATGAACGGTTAATAAGAAAAGAGTAAACTGTAATAATGTTTAAAGTTCTTTTCTCAAATGTTTTCGTAATTGCTTCCAAATGCCCTGATATGGCCGAGGGTGTTGAGAGTCAGCTTTCCCTCTCCTAATGCTCTCACATAGCCACGCGTATACGAAGTTGAGAGGACGAAAAGCCAATATCCGGCGCTTTAACCAGGTTTGTGAATATGGTGAATCCACCTAGAAAGTCGAAAAACCCTGATTCCAAACCAAGGTGCACATAGGCTACAGGATCCTGAGGGAAAAAATTGCGTATGAACCAATTATTGATCACCGGTTACCATGGGACTGCAAATCCTGACATTGCTCCACTACCTTGTGGATCAAACCTTTAGGTTAAATGTTCCGGGTGTGGCCTCTTAAGAAAATCACCTGCTTCGGTCTGGGCACCCTGGGCAGTATCATATCTCACACACAAATCAAGTGTGCTAATTGAACGCTATATTCGGTTCCTAAGCTATTCTCGTAACCCCCAAGTTAGAACCGCACAGCGACCTGAACACGAGATAGTAGGCGCAAAATATACGAGAAGTACTTTACTCCAAAAGTTCATTTTAATACAGAAAATATAGGGTTTTAATAGTATTTGGATGTCCTTGGGATTCCCGAAGATTCTGGAATGCTACTGAACATAGTAATAGTATATTAATCAGCCAATCAGAAACTCAGCTTGTGACTTTTCACTTTCTTAATGTTTCTGTCTAAACTTCTAGTGAACGCTGATTGGGTTGGATGCTTCTTAGTGTTTCCTGAACCGTTCTTTCCTTTTGTGAGAAGTTTTCTGGATCACCCCAACAGTTAGACAATTTCAAGTAACCGAAAATGTCTAAGTCACAGACTTGATTACGATTAAGTATTTGTAGTGATATTTCATACTGTTCAGAATGTTATTCCCTTTTTCCACTGATCACCTTTATTAAAATATACCCTATTGATGGTCACATTTTATTAACATGATCCTTATTCATTCCATTGTCTTCATTTTGTATTCTTCAACATTATGCAACCATCATTTTACAAGGTTCCAAACACATAATATCTTTGAGCATTGTACTTGAACCGTATCGTGGATTTCGTAAAGTTTTATATGACGAAGTCATCAGGTCTCTAAAGTCAACAATATCGAGAGTTAAATAATGAATGATAATCTAGCTGTAATACGCATATACAGACTGTTTTGGGATTGTACTCTTTTGTACAATTTGATAGTTTACCCTACACATTACTATAATATCAAAATTTCATTTTCATCTAAGATACTGGGTGTACATTGTAGAGAAGTCCCAAAACAAGACGATGAATATTTATTGACTCTCTTCACAATTGATTGATCACTGGGTGGTGATCAATGTCATGCGTGTCTAGTCCTTATTTAGTGCAGATCAAATGCTATCAACCATGTTGCAATGTGGCCACCAGTCTAGGTGACTCGACATTGCGGGCACTATATATTGAGATTGAATAGCTCAGTGGTAACGTCTCTCACTGTGAAGCTGGGTGACACGAGATCGAATCCGTCAGAGCGCACCAGTTCCCTCAAGATTACAGGTACGCCTTGCTGACAAGTGCCAAGTAGCACAAAACCCGGGTCCAGGGTTTCCTGTCGACTACCTCCAAACACCATTGACTCTCTTCAGTAACCAATACTTTTATCTTTCAAACTACTATTCACATATCCCGTTTTCATGTGTATTTTTTCTCTCTCTCTGTATATTCTATTGTATAGAAAGTATCACGTGCATCTACCAATCTCCATGTGAATACGTTATATGACTTATTAGCTAATGAAATAAATCGTGATGATTCTTCCGGATCAATTGGTTTATTATGGTTAAAGCGTACATTTCAATTTCTTATTTGTTTCCTGCATTATTTTGCTCAATCTAAGAATAATGAATTAATACGTGATATGATTATAAGAGCTTATGATAAAACATTGACAAGATATCATAACAAATTAATGCGTCATGCATTTCGTGTGAGTATAATTTGTAGTTTGGTGTATGTGTGTGTGTATGTATGTTTGTTTCCAAAGCCATAACCTCATGGTGTTTGTGCTGTAAATCGAAATCAAACCAGCTCAGTGGTCTAGTGGTTAAGCGCCCGCGAGCGAGGCTGATGGGTCTTGGGTTCGAATCCCGCGGGGGGCGAGATCGCGGATGTGCACTGCTGAGGAGTCTCATGCTAGGACGAAACGGCCGTCCAGTACTTCCAGGTTTTCCATGGTGGTCTAGCTTCAATTGACTCATGATTTCAACTATTAATCCTTAGATAACAAAAAAAAACCCACTGGAAACAACTAATCAGTTGTAAACATCTAAAATGAACAGTCAATCATAAAAAAAATTAACGAAGTAGCAAAACTCGACCTGCGGGTCTCTTCGTGGTGATGCCGGGTAATGAAGATAACCTCACTAGCTAGCTTAGAGGATCAACACAGATCGGACTAATCTACCAATCTTCTGTATCTTGGATAACTTGATGGTCTAACTTCCAGGTACTAAAATCGCAAAAGGCCGTTTTGTGCATGACTATATGCATGAATTGCATGGGTCTCAGTTTCAATAATTTATGTGTATAGGTATGTACATAGGTTACGCAACGGGCTTTCCTGAAAGGTCTGAGAAAAAAATAAGAAGAAGGGACAGGTGAACAATTATCCTCTCTTAAAACTGCTTACACTTGTGTGCATACGATGAAGCTCATAACTTCGTTCATTACAAAATCATTGATTGTAAGAGTGAAGTAAGGGCTTCGTGTTTGAAATCCACAAGTATACTGATATCAATGAATACATCACTAAATACCAGAAGGTACTAGGTAAGATGTAAGAAATCCTTCCATAGTAGTTAACTACTATTCCTTATGATGTCGAATCTAGGATCTTAAGGTCATAGATGCGATTGATGGGTTTAGTCAGTCAAAACTTAATGGCTTACAATTTTCAGCTCTGATCAATACATGATGTAATATAATTCAATTTCATCATAATTGATTAGTTACTATCTCATTTCTAACATGATCTACTTGACTGGTCATATTTTCTACACTAGAATTTCTATGAAGTCTAGTATTAAGTGTGTTAGCGTTTAGCGTTTTGTTTTATCGAGTTAGTTTTCTATAGGATAGGGTCTCTAACCCCATTCCCAACCCTCCTCCTTTACCCGGGCTTGAGACCGGCAGTAACTCTAGACGAGCTACAGGTGGAGTTAGTATTATGTACACAATTACTAATTACAGTATTTTATTCATTTTTCCCTTTTCTTAATTTTTCTAGTTTGTTTTACTCATTGTCCCTAAACGATCGGTATTTATTAGAAAATTAGGATTGGAACAGGATAATTGTGAATTATTGGTAAGTTAATTCTTTATTTACTAAAGTGAACATACATTGTTATCATCTAGATTACATTGAAATCAATAATTTCATAAACTCAACTTCTGTGTATCCCTTTACTTACTTACTTACGCCTGTTACTCTCAATGGAGCATAGGCCGCCAAACAGTATTCTCCAACCCACTCTGTCCTGGGCCTTCTTTTCTAGTTCTATCCAATTGTTGTTCATTCTTCTCATAGCTGTCTCCAATTCTCGGTGTAATCTGTTCTTTGGTCTTCATCTTTTCCTTTGATTTTGAGGATTTCAAGTGAAAGCTTGCCTTGTGATGCAGTTCGGTGCTTTCCTCAATATATGTTCTATTTACTTCCAGCGCTTTCTTCTGATTCCTACCTCCATTGGGATTTGGTTTGTTCTCTCCCATAGTGTATCCCATAGCGTATAGAAAATTTTCTCGTTCACAAACTATCAATGAGGGTCTTAAAAAATAAAGGCAACCAAGAGTTACCTTGTATTATTCTGTCTTATATAAACTCCTGTGACCAACATAAAAGGTACTACCCCTAGCTCAGAGTCTGAAAAGTTGGAAGAATGAAAATTTCGCAAATGCGATAAAAATAATCTTGGTGGTCTAGTAATAGTATTCCGACACTAGACAATAGGTTTTAAGCGTTATTTAAGCCCTAACGCTTCAGGCTGGGCTATTTATTTTACTACCCTACATATGTGTTGTATGCAGTATGAGCTATATGCCTATGTGGAAGGTCCCATATGAGGCTGGATGTTCGCCATTGGTATTGTGGATGGTTCGGTATTACCTTGGCAAGTTCTGCTGACTGTTCATGCATAAAATTGGTTTACTGGCTAATCGATTCCATTCATACTGGTGGTTGCTTTCCAGTGTTCTTAAGGACCATTGTAATTAGGACATTGTAAGGCATGTCGACATTGCTAACATTAATGAGTTTGACTATCGTGTAAGCGGAATAGGTCAACTTTGGCCTGTTTGTGGTGGGTATAATTGATTCACGCGATCATTGGTCAGAATAACTATACATGTGATATGAATGTGTATATGAATGGTGTGAATGGTTCATCACGGTGCTTGGTACCTGTATGGTTGCACCACAGGATTGAGCTGTACTATTCAGATTGTAGCGTTAAAGCCTATACGGTATCTGGTTCTCCTGTGAATCAGGATTGAGCTGTACTGTTTGGGTTGTCACGTGAAACTCTGGATGGTGTCTGGTTTTCCTGAAAACTAATGTAGAATTACCCTGGCCCACAAGAGTATCTTATAACTATGACCTATATAAAACTATGTTCACCATAAATAAGAAATCTTAATTTGTACAATAATGAATACCAGGTATATAATGAGTAAACTAGATAGGATTGTTCAAGACAGAGTTCGATAAAGAATTCTCATAGGTGATCTACCCTCCTCTACATAGGGTAACAGGCGTAAGTAAATAAATAATATATAAACAATACAAATATGGAAATAGTTAATAATTTAAAACATGAAATACATTACAGAAATCTCTTTACAAAGAATTCATTTCAACAGTTGAGATCATAAGTCAATTGAAGCTAGATCACCATGGAAAATCTGGAATCACTGAACGGCCATTTCGTCCTACTGTGGGACTCTTCAGCAGTGCGCATCCACGACCCTGCCTAGCAGGATTTGAACCCAGGACTTATCGGAATTCCTTATTTATTCCATATGATGATGTGATAGAGACATTACAATACTAGATTGCACAGTATTAATAATAACAATACTAAAATGGTGTATGTATGTGGATTTGTATGAATAAAATATAGATGTTTTTATCAATCTATGAAATAAAGCTTAAACTGTATGTATAAAAGAAGATTAGATAGATTAAGGTTATATGAATTGGAAATCGATTTTTTCACTTAACTGTGTTATAATCCCATGTCCTTAAATACCACTGTAAACTTGTTGATTTGAATATGTTCTCTATGATCAATTACATAACTTATGTTATTGATAAGTAAAGATGGATAGTGGTTAGTAGTGGAATCTAATGATGTACATTTCATCCTATTTGGGACTCGTCAGCTGGATGTACTATACATCTCATAGATATTGTTCACTTCAGGACTCCAACCGATTATCGTTTATTTCAAACGTTACCACGTTATCCATTTAGCTACTGAGTCCTGTTAACCACTTGGTTGTGCAATGGGATAAATTTTAAATTCACTTGATATTGTTTAATTGAATCTTCCCATTGATATTTAAGACTGCAGATTGCCTCGATATAACCTTAAGTCAAAAGCTTTTTTAAGCAAAGATGAATAGTGGCTAGCAGTGTTCATAGTAGTGATCAAATAATATCAATGAAGTAACAACATGTGACTACTAGGCCAAGTGACCTGACACCGTAGTGTATTATGTCATATGTTAGGTTATTGGAGATGATTGAGAGAATGCTCTTGAAACTAGATTTCATGCTTGTTGGTGACATTTATCAAGAAGCATAACCTGACATTGTTTATCACTCACTCCACTGGTTACTGCATACCACTAGAACTCCAACAAATACCTCTTGAAGTCAGTCACTAGTGAGCATATGTTGAGTATCATCAAAAGGGTTTTGTGGATATTATAATAATTTTAATAGTTGAGATTATGAGCCAATTGAAGCTAGATCACCATGGAAAAACCTGGAAACACTGGATGGCTATTTCATCCTACTGTAGGATTCCTCAGCAGTGCACATCCACGATTCCACCTCGCGAGACTCGAACGAAATTGAGTGACACATACACTGTGGTGTGTGCTACTTATATTGACCTAAGTAGTATATGATGTTAGTCGTAAACAGTAGGTCTGGGAGCTATATAGAAGTGGAAAGTAAGATGGAAGTCAAGTTTTTGGTGATAAGTCGTTTAATTGAACTTTAGATTCGATTCCTAAGCTATTCTAGTAATCTACCCCCCCTTTTTTTATGGCTAAATCTATACAGCGACTCAAACACGAGATAAAAGGAGACGAAACATGAAAGAAACGTTTTACTCCGAATGTTCGTTTATGTACGGAAGATCTAGGGTATTCATAGTATTTTAGATGGCCTTGATTTTCTAGAAATCTCTGGAACGCTACTTAACATTGTAACAGTACAGGTAATCATCCAATGAGAAACGCGAGATGTGACTCTCCACTTTCCATATGTTTCTAGCAAAACTTCTATTGAATGCTGATTGGATAAGATGTTCTCCCAGAGATTTTAGGTTCTCTTTCGGCGTTTCTTTGAGGAATTTTCTGGATGACTACAACATATAAGTCAAACTTTACAAGAAGATGAAATACAGCGACATGATCGCAATCAATTTCAAGTCATATTAGTTAAGGTCTTAAACCGTAAACTAGAATCATCTGATATATATCATTCATGAAATCTTAATTTAGTGACATGAAAAACTGTGAAAGTCCATAACCATGTCTTCATTTAGCCAATTATGTCCTTCTTTCGGAATGGATGGCAGTTAATAATCCATAATATATGGTCCAAATGCTAAACAGTCGAAGTTTACGGTGTTATAAATTAGTTGATTATTTCATACGTGTTAGGGCGATTTCCGAGAACTACGACAGAGCCTCCAAGGGCCGTAAATAAACCGAAGAGCTTCTATTTAATCAGAACATGATGGAGCTTTCTAAAATATCAACGTAGCATGCTACTATTAGACAGTATCATAACATGTTGTTATAACAAATGCTAATATCTAATAAATACCCATGATTTTCTGTACATTTCGGTTCTTACCCAGCAAGCACTTGTCCAGTTTTCTTCTGTCTTTTGCTTTACGACTATTGGGGTTCTATACGTTCCAGTGCCGTAGTTGTATACTGTATTCTGCGTAGCGAACCTAGCAACATCTAACCCTCAGCTTTACTTAAGATATTCTTAATGATTGATTCTGTTTCTAATGGATTCAATCGAATTTTAATAGAGTAACCGAATTGGATTTACACTGATGATATAAGAACCGATAATAATTATGATTGTTATCCCTCAGAGTCTTCTTATCTCACTGACCTATTCAATATTAGATGATCAAAGTCTGACTTGTGACTACGAAAAACCTGCATTTTTAAACAATCAATCGAATACCTCATAATGACTGATCTAGCAACAGAATAGATTGTCAAATTAAGTTTTTTTTTCAACCATATATTAGCATGAATCAAAATGTGAAGTAGAAACTCTTTTCACAATTGATTGATCAATGTTATATAGGTCAATTCCTTCTTAATGCAGATCGAATGCTTTCCTATTGATTACCTCCAACCACCATGTAGAAACGATTTTGCCTGATTGACCTTCATAATCCAAAATGTTAGTTTTTATTTTAGATACTTCCTATCATCTTTTAACTATGATCTTTAAACTCACTGAAATTGATTTTATTTATTTTATTTTAACACATAGATATTGGTACAAGGAGGCACCAAATACATATGCACCACACAAATCTCATTTGATATGTGTGAGGGCTGTGTTACTGCCCGGGTGCTCAAACCGAACCAGGTGGATTTCTTAGGGGGCCATACCCGGAGCCTTCGACCTGAAGGTCTGATCCACAAGGCAGTGGAGCATCGTAAGGAGATGCAGTCCCATGGAAGCCGGTGACCAACGATTGGTTCATATGCCATTTGTTCCTTCAGGACACTGGAGCCCATGTGCACCATTGGTTTGGAATGAGGGTTTTCTGACTCCCCTAGATGGACTCTCCATGTTCACCAACCCGGTTAAAGCGCCGGACATTCGCAATGAGTAGGACTTCCCTGGCAGAGGCTATGTACGCGTGGCCATGTGAGAGCATTTTTCGAGGGAGAGTGGACTCTCCCCACTCTCGGTCGTACCAGGGTATTTGGGGGCCACTGAAATTGAACACTTGTTCTTATCTTAAACTAGATAGCTACTATATTTATGCTTTTATTTTCATTTTCTTTTCATTTAAGGTACTTAGAGAAGCAGGACAATTTGCAGTGTCAATCGAAGCTCATGTTCAAACTTTAAATCAAATGTTAGTTTTATTCGGTTTGGAAGATCCACTGATTAGTTGAATTATTTCTTCTTCTTCTTCTTCTTCTTCTTCTACTACTACTTCTTCTCCTTCTTCTTCAAAATAGTCTATCCATTTGGATTCATTCTCATTTCGCGCTCTTTATCACATCAACATCAATCCATTCAAAATAGAATGTTGGATATTACCAATCATGTAATTTATTCTCATAGATCATCCTCACCATCATCATCATTATCATCAAAGACATATTCAAAGGAAACCTTCTGTGTTACCGGTTTATATTTTCAATTAAACTTGGGATCTTTCATTTTTGTTTGTTTCCAACACCTCCTTTCTTTATTCAAT